TGCTATTATATCTTTAATATACTGTAATTAAGATTACCGTATATAAAATTTGATTAATTAGACTTTTAATTCTTATATAAATGTTATTCTACCGTATAATAAAGATGTTATTATTAATTCTTTTTTTTAATATTATTATATGCTATTATATTTTCCCTCAGATGGACGACTTATATAAATGTTATTCTACCGTATATTAAAGATGCTATTATTTATTATTATTTTTAATATTATTATATGCTATTATATTATATATATCTTTCCCTCAGATCGACGACGACAGCATCGAGGACGGCGGTGAGCGGAAGCGCTGAAGAGCTCGTGTCAACAGACGCCATGGAACTGATACTTCGCATTCCCTTATTTATTCAGAATATTTCCGCCTCTTGTTTCAGTAGAACAAATAAAGGAATAAATAATAAATGCGAATAAATTTTTATTATTCTTTTAGGGTTTTTGGCTGATTTTAGGTTAGGTTAGGATCTTTTAGGTTTTGGCTAATGGCTGATTTGATTTTCATTCAACTTATATTTCCTTATAGACAGCATGGAAGAAAGGCTAAATTGTTCTGCCCAAGGCGGGAAGGCTGTTCATATAATTTATTTAAGTTGAAATTAGGCGTTGATTTCTTTAAATCTGCGTAGTCAAGGATAGCGATCGAGAGCCTGTTAGGTAAATGCGGAAATGCTGCATGGATAATTTTTTTTTCGAATGTATTCAAGACTAGCCAGTTGAACGAACATTTCTTGCTACGTGTAAGTTCCTTTTCACGTTGGAACGCAAGGGAACACAAATTGTAGATCACGAAGGAGCTAAGCCTGCATCTGATTGAGGGCTAGAATTTTCTGAAAATTCATTATAGTTTACTAATTAGTAGGCCCTAGAGAGTTGACGAGTTGACCTAGAGTTGAAGCACCTGTAGCATCAACATATTCCTTTCTGTTGGTGAGCCAGCTAAAGGGCATAGTTTCACTAAGGATTTTTCTCTATCGCCTACCAGAATAAACTAATCTTATTTAGTTTATTCTTATTTTATTGCCCTTACTCTTGGTAGCAACACTCATCTTTGACCTAGGCGGGTGAAGCGTGGAGGTAAAGCCATGTTTTTTTCAAATTTGCGGGGGCCTCTGAAGACCAGTCCAATGCGGCCCCACGACCGAGTTTTGAGTTATAATTGTTAATAACTTTAATTAATCATTTCAATCACTTTAATTACTCTAATTGATCACTTTAATTAATTGGCTTTTTATCATTAATCATTAAAAATCCTGCCTAACTCAAGCTGCCTGTACTGTACTGTACTGTAGACTACTGAAATTTGATAGCTTCAATTTCTTCATTTCCTCTTAAAAAAATAATATAATTAAATAATAATAAAAAAAATTTCAATAAAATAATTAAATCATTTCTTCATAGCGTAGCACAGCACGTGGATGACATGCTACTGGGTCTCCACTCAGAGAAGTGGGTGAGAAAGTGTCACTATTTAGATACTATGACGCATGTAATGTTTTGAGTGTTCTATTTTAAGTTTCGAGTTACAATGTAGAATTCAATACACAAATGTTGTTGAAATCGGCAGAATTTTGCTCTGCGTTGTAGGATAGACGTTCATACAAATTGAAAAGCAAAGAATGAACCAATAAAATTCATATGTCTTCACATTTACATTTATTGATTGGCAATAATCCTTAAAACAAAAATTGACTAATAAATAAAATAAATAATGTAATTTGGATAGTTTTCCGGTTATTTCTCAGACTGAATGATGTGGAGCTTCTTTTAAATGCAATTTCTTCATAATTCAAACGAACGAATGCAGTGACATGCCCCTTAATGCCTATTGACAAGCGAAGGTAAGCCACTTAAATGAATTGTAATTAATTCATAATCATCTTTAATAATCATCTTGTCACCCAATCAATGTCACTACTTCACTGTCATCTCTGAGCACGATACTCAAGTGCGATGATAGATTGCCCGAGATCAAAATAGATTTGTTATACATAGCAAAAATAGAAAATTACTTCATAGAAAATTTACTACAGTGTTCAGTAGTCTTACGTCGGGGTCAACAAATTCACCGTAGAGAACGCACTCCATGCATAAGTTGTAGATGACTTCTATGTTATTTTTGATGACCTGTGTGGTCCTCGTGACGGTAGGGTTATTTATACCTTATACGTGAAAGCTCATCCTTTTGTGATGGACTTGAATTAATAGTTTCTAATTGAAATCATTAACTTTAAATTTAGCATGAGACTGTTTTCAGAGCAACGAGCTTCACTATTGCTTGTCATGAAGCGAGCGTTATTGTGTCATTAAAAAATTCATACTTCGTGGATTGACTTTTAAGCCCACACAGTGACACATGGATTAGGAAAAGTTCGCAAGTCGAGACATACACATACCGCGGCATCACTATATTTTTGAAGACTGGGCTTATTTGTCGAAACCGTTTTCGGGCACTCATGGCTGTACATTAGCGGTGAATCAGGTCAGTGCCTTCGTCATAGTTATGACGTGTGGAATGAATACCAAATTTTAGGTAATTTTAAAATACCAATATTAATCTATTGCAATTATAATCTATTAGCAATATTAATCAAGCACAAATAGGAATCTATTACTGATAATAATTGTTATCAATACTTCTATTTTAAATAGCAATCAAATCTGGACATCGGAGGAACGTAAAGCTCTATTGAGTGTAGCAACCTGAGGACGTTTGTTTGCAAGAGAGAACATTTTAAAGCTGTACGTGGCGGCAACCATCAGTGCAAGTCATTTTGCGATGGCTAGAAAGTATCCTTTTTGTGAAGTAGGCGCGTGACAATATTGCTGCTGTTGCTCATGTCAGGCGGTGGAGGGTAAGACTTTACTGACTTGAGCAGTGATAGCGGAGTGCGGACTCGCGGCGTTATGGCTGCCAGCTGTTTTGGAACCATTGTGGCATGTGGTTTTTCATGCGTAGTTTGCAACTTTGTCGTTCAGAACTTAAGAGGAGGTTAGGTTCAGCTGTGCAACTTTAGATTGAGTGCTAGATACACGGTTAATTCGACTAATAATAACAATAACGGCTTCAGCATTAAGGTGCTTTATACACAAAGTATAAGCATAGCCGATACCGGTAGTGGCTTGTATTTTCTTTTCAAATATCGGGCTAAAAATTAGCACGATTCCAAGTGCAAAAATTGAAAATTATAAATTCTTTTATTTCTTTTTCTATTTAATTTTATCAAAATTACTAAAAATCATGGCTATAAGTCAATGGAAAATATCTGAAATTTCGAAGTAAAATATAGTTTACTCGTAGGCCTGCCTACGAGTCTTAAGGTCGCATAACATTCACAGCTTGTTGCGGGTCTCGAACCCGCATCTCTCTGCCCCAATGCTGAAACTGTGAACTGTTAAGGCCAACTGATGCGTGCCTTAACCACGAGAGTCGTATGGTGAAACATTGCCGAATCTGGTTTGCGTGTCAGAATTGGCCAGCCGTAATTGCGACATAAAAACTCGTAACTTTGCATGTGTATGGAGTTTCATGATGTTGATATTTTATGAGGTTTCACCTTCAAACTTCTATGATGTTTTATGAGGTTTGCGGTCTCTTTCCTTCAGTCAGCCAGTTGCCCGTATTTTTTGGGAACTTGCTGGTTCGGCGCATGGTTGAACTATATATACTAGTTCAACCATGGTTCGTCGGACCCATGGTTGAATTAATTCAACCATGCGTCGGACCTGCCAGGGTCCGGGTATTAGTGACTTGATCCTGGTCCGGGTCCGGTGGATTGTTCCGGACTTCCGGTTTTAGCCAGTACCGAATATGGGCAAGTCATCAAAGGCATGTCACTCAAGTGGGACGACTGAAATAACCCAGCATTGCCCAATACCAGCATAATTTTCATACTTCACCCCGTGCAATTTGCAAACTATGACACTTTCCTAAAATTTGTCATTTGCATAAGTAACTAGAAGAGTTCTACTACAATGCACCCAAACCTGGAGTTATTTTACCAAAAAATAAAAAAATTGGAGGGGGTTCAATGACAGGCTTTAAATAATAGCTCTTTTTCATGGGTCACATTTTTCATTTTTTAACCTATTAGACATGCATAATTTTTTATCTTTCTATTGTGTTACATAACCTCAGTATTAGGCCTTCAATGCCCATTGACAAAATTTTTCTATGTCAAATAGTTTTTGAGTTTTGGTGGTTTTTGTTAAAAAACTAAAAGTGGTCCAAGTTACCCCGGGAGTCTAAGTTACCCCATTTTACGGTATGTGAAATTCTTTTTATAATTTTCAAAATCACTCATTCTATCAATTGATTCATGCATTCTCTTCAATTTTGCATAAGTATGCAAAATTTTAGATCAATTGGACTGGTAGAAGTTTATTATATATCAATTATAAGATTTATAACAGACAAACAAATGAACTGCAGTGAAGTTAAAGAGAAATGTTGTGAAATTTAGTGCATAATTTGACTAAAGTTGCTGAAATTAGGTACACAATTGAATTCCATTTTTTAAACTAATTGGAAAATAGATAATTTTTGTCATCCTAATTTATATTAGACATTAATGTTCTGCTCTTTCAATATGAATATCTGAGACGCTGTCTTTTAATATTGCACTTTTATTACAAATTTAGTGGATTGATTTAACATATAATTCCTGGTTAGCTTATAATATTGTAACCATTAAAAATGTATAAATTTATTTAATATAGAAGTGTATCCTTATAATCAATATATAATGAATCAATGTATTTACATAAAAAGTCCTTGAAGTCATAAATTTAAAAACACATCAATATATTCTGTAGGAAAATAAATCATTCAAATCCATAAAAGAAATTAATCAATGTAATCAATATGAAAAAACTATCAATATGAGTAACATGATAAATGTATCATTGTAATTAATGATTATTTTTTGTTGCCATGTGAAATGGAGATATTTATTGTTAGGTTTTAACTTGGTTTAATTTTGCAGGAGGTGGAGGGGACGGAGAAGATGCTGAGGATGAGAAGAAGAGGCAGAAGAGAGGAGGCAAGGGCATGGTGCGCCTCAAGAAAAAGGATGACACGCCTAAGAAGGCAAGTGTTGTGACCCCTCATGTCCTATGTAGGATGACACGCCTAAGAAGGCAAGTCTTGTGATCCCTCATGTCCTATGTAGGATGACACGCCTAAGAAGGCAAGTCTTGTGATGCCTCATGTCCTATGTAGGATGACACGCCTAAGAAGGCAAATCCTAATCATATATTTAATCATAAAATTGTATATATTAATCTTACACTCATCCATATCATGCAATCTACTTTATCCTTCAACTCTTTCATTATTTCACCTTATCTCATTTCCATACCTTTTTCAACCAGTATTTTACAATCGTTTACTGCAATGCCTTTTCCATGCTTATATTTTTTATTCCAGCATTCTCATTACCTGTCTCTGTTGAGGGTAATTCAGATGGACTATAACCTCCCTACCCAAGTTTTGACAGTAATCAAGTATACAATTGGCAGTAATCCAGCCAATTGACAGTAATCAGTATACATTTTTAGGCTGTTTGCTTACATAAAAGTTTTAATAGCTCTGTGTGCTGTGCACATGTGTGTGATGAATGTCCATGCAGCACATTACATTTACATCATTATTTTCAATACTGAGACTGCAGTGACAGTGTTGCAGTGACAGTGTTGCAGTGACAGTGTTGCAGTGACAGTGT